CTCAGCGGAATTTCCCCACGGTGAGACTGGGAGCTAAACGAAAACCAATGTTACATGCAGACTGTCCAAGTGGATCTGGATATATGGGGTGTTTTTCAGTTCTGTTAAACCAAAACTAAATCAGAACAGCCAAATATTTTGGCATGAAATGCAAGAGGTATGTGGAATCCATTGAATTCAAGATCCAGAAAAACAAGCAACCCATTTATACGCATTCTATACATGCTTTTTGCCAACAGAGGAAAAAATCCACAGCCCCGTTTAGAGCACAGACATGTAACAAGAATGAAGACGCAAACCTCTAGAAACGGCCTAATTCTTAGTCTTCAAATGCACTGCGGTCGTCCAGTCTGGTGGCCTTTGCCAAGAGCTATTCTCACCCTGTCTCCACAGCGGCTCTCAGAATCTGTTCTGGCTCCTCTGTTTGGAGACTGGTTTAAACAGCCTTCTCCAGCTCACTGAACTCTCCCGTTGGGGCTCTACGAGCTTCCTTGCTTTTATCACCACTCACAGCTCCAGGGCAGAGATGCTTTCCCCAGCCCAGGCCCTGGAAGGCCTGCTGAGGGCAGAAGATTCACACAGTCTGGGCCATTCTTCACCTAGGCTCAGCTCTGAGATGCTAATGATCCCAGGGGCAGAATGGCCAAGAGCAGGAAGTTAATCAGATATGAAAAAGGCACCAGCCAGGCTGACCCCACAGGAAGCCTTCTAGTGACCAGTATCCCCAGGTTCTGGAAAACTTTGGTCCAGCCTGGATTGTTGTCCATGTCTGGCAGTGGGGGCCAGCTGTAGGCATCCCCAGGCAGGGGTCACGTTCAGGGGCTTCGTGGGACTAGACACAAAGGTTCCTCTAAGGAGGTTATGGAGTTTCAGCCAAGAGGACAGCGGCAGGGGCCATCTCCCAGTGAAGGGGCTGACAAAGGTCAGACACCTTGGTCAGGCCCTAGTGCTTCTTGGAGGGCTCAGAGCAGCAAGAGAAGCTTCAGACCAGACCCACATTCTGATGCCTGCAGGAGGGGAGCGAGGTGTGCAGGGCCTTCTGCAGAATGGGACTGGAATAGATTGGAACTGTTGTATTGCAAAGCCCTGGACCAACAGGATCATTATCCCAATCTCTGTCTCAATGTCCCACCCACTGGCCATTCAGGTGACAAACAGGTAGATCCCTAACCTGAACTCTGCCAGTTCACCTTTGTTAGGAGATTTCATCTCAGCTCGAGAACCTGGTGTAATTTTCCCTTTCAGACCTTGTTGGCTACCTCCCTTTTGCACCAAAACCAGAACCCCAAACCAAGCTTTCTTACGAGAGGACTTGTTAAAGTGAAATAGGAGAGATGAGATGCTTTAGGAAGGTGTGGCAGAGATTGGTTGCCCGCTCCTTAAACCTATTTCCTCTTATTCTTGGGAGACACGTGGCCACACATCCCAGCCTCCTTTCTGGTTAGGTGTGGCCTTGTTAGTTTGTAGCCAAAGAAATGTGAGTGGGAGGGATGCAGGCTGCTCCCAGGACTAACCCATGGAATCCTCCCATCTGTGATCCTCCATGGACACCATGCAAATCATAGCCCCCCAACAAGGGCAATCCAAAGAGGTTATTGCACCAGTTTGATTGCTTCAGTGATAAATGGGAATTTGGAGGTGTCAGAGGTGGAGAGGAGGCTACAGACTGGGATAGCAAGTGTAGAGAGCCTTCGATCAGGGAAGCCAAAAGAGGCAGGAGTATAACTGCCATCATCCTCTACTTGGGCTGCATCCAAAGACGGTAAAGGGACACCAGCCAAGTAAGGAGGCCCCAGGAGCTACGTTTGGCAGGACAGGGGAGCCTCTGATGGTTGGTGGCTCTTTATTTCGCACAGCAGGCTGCACTGTAACAGTCGGCTGTGGGAACAGTAGCAGGTTCCCCTGGGTCCTGGGAGGCCCTGGCAAATGCGTCCCTGTCGTAGAGAACACACAGGAGAAAAAAGCCTGCGATCCTCAAAGCCTTTGCTCTGACTTTTAACTTATCGTAAGCTGTATTGCGGTAGCTGGAGATTTACCATTCATTGTTCAGAATATTACGTTTTGTTCCTGAAATAGAGGCACTAGAAGTTCACATGATAGAAATTCCATAGAAACAATATAATGGGACTTGATTCTAGCCAAGATCTGATACACTGTTTATAGGAATGATCAGCGATTACATAGGAACCAATGTGTCAATGAGAAAAGATGTCCGAACCCTGCACAGTGTAGAAGTAAGGTGTCTATAAATCAGTTATGTGGGACAATGCAGTAACCAATCATATAAAAGTCCCGTGAGAGGTGCCCTGGGGCTAAGAACCGGCCAGTGGGCCGCTGGGCGGCAGCGCTAGACACCGCAGTGTGTGGCAGGGTGTTCAGGGGCCAATCATCGAGGTCACGTGTGGCAAGCTGTGTCGTGCAAGGTTGACTGGAGACCACGGCCGTCAGGACTCTGGGCACCTTTGAGAATCAAAGGGCTTTAGAACACTGGGTCCCCTGTAGTCAAATGGGCCCCTCAGCACAGATGACGTTCTCTTCACCTTCTCTGGGCCTAGATGTGAGTCTAGGCTGAGCCCGGGCTTCATTGTAAGCCAGACCCTGGAATTTTGTACCTCTGGAATGACAAGGGGCCAAACACAGCGGCCTAAGGCCATTTTTAATCCTCCTTCCCTGGACTCCACCCCACACACAACATTGTCTTCATGAAACTGAAAAATCAGGACCCCTATAAAGAAAAGGAAATCCAAAAAAAAAAAAAAGAAAAGGAAATCCAAATGCCATCAACTTGGGGAAAAGAGACACATGACTGCTTCTTTCTCTATGTTAGGAATCTCCCCTTTCACCAGACTCCATTGGAACATCAGAGGGCTCTACGGTCCTTGCCCTGGACCAGTGGATTTTGCCCTGAAGCGGGGTTAGGAAAAGCCTATCTGACATTCTCCAGGTAAGAATGGCCTACGGGGCTTCCCTGGTGGCACAGTGGTTGAGAGTCCGCCTGCCAATGAAGGGGACACGGGTTCGTGCCCCGGTCCGGGAGGATCCCACATGCCGCGGAGCGGCTGGGCCCGTGAGCCATGGCCGCTGAGCCTGCGCGTCCGGAGCCTGTGCTCCACAATGGGAGAGGCCACGACAGTGAGAGGCCCGCGTACCGCAAAAAAGAAAAGAATGGACTACGGCCTGCATATAACAAAGTCATACCACAGCCACTTCCACATCACAGTGCTGTTTCCACCTAGGGCCTCACGCAGTTGCAAAATCTTAGAGAAGAAAGTAACAGACTCATTTATTTAGGTTCATTAAACATATTCCCAGCCCTTCCAGAACATACTGATGACAACAATGATGTATTTGAGGACATGAATAGCAAGTACTATACGAAGGCACAAGCCTGGAGCTGTGGGTCTGTAGTTAAATTTCTGTCCAAATGATGATGACGATGATGATGATGTGTGTGTGTGTGTGTGTATAATTTTCTACTTTACAAAGCAATTTTCACAATGAGACCTTGATTCCTTTCACACCCAATTTCCTGCTATATGGGCCAGTGGGCTCATGTGATATGCTTGGCCAAGAGGAGACTCATTTAACAACTGCTCAGCCAAGCAAAGGACACTTTGCTGCAGGCCCAGGAGGAGTTCAACCCCAAACAAAGACGAGAAGGTGCCCATTTTCACAGAGCTGGTAAACGTTGAGAAGGAGACCATCATTTTCACTGTAGTTTCCTGCTCAAGCCTATGGGAACTTTGGAAACCTGTGGAGAAAGGGCCCTCCTGCCATGTGGCCAGCGGATCTGGGAGGACCGAGCACAGTGGTCAAAGGACCTTAGCTTTCCAACCCCTCATTTACAAGGGGGAGAGGAGCTTGGGAAGCTCCCCGCCACTTCCTCTCCTCCCCTCCCATCTCTTCCCCTCCCCCACTGAACAGTGACAGACGTTCTCCTTTGGTTGTGATGGGCTGAGATTGAAGGCTCTCACCAGGTTGGGAGCTGCAAAATAACCCCCTAGGAAATGCATCAGAAATGCTGCAAGTGACTCCGAAGAAGCTCCAATGCTCAGCGCCTCTGGGAAGGACAGGCATAGGCGCAGGAAATGGGAAGGTGAGGGTGAAAAGTCACGTCCGGGGTGCGGACACGCACTTCACGTGCAATTTGCATTTCCTGTACTGTCTGTTCTAGGAATTTCCAAGTTGGCCCTTTCTGTAGCAGGTAGTAGAGGGAAGAAGGCGTGCCCAAGGATAAGAGGAAAGAGAATTATTCAGCGTCCAGTTAGGCTTGCTAACCTGGATGCTGAATAATTTTAGGTCCCAGGGAGGCTACATCCCTTTGACTCTCAAAACACAAATCATAGTTACCCTCAGGATGGCCTCAGTATTCTTCATCGCCCGTCATCTGGGCTTTTCACCAACTGCACTGTCCACATACTGCTTCTTGCCCTAACGCTCTTCCAGGATAGTAGAAAAACCAGGAGGAAAGAATGGAGTTGGGTGTAGGAGGGGAGAGGGGACAGAGCCAGCTGTGCAGTCAGGCCTGGGCATCAGAGATCGTCCTGCCGAGACTGGCACCCCTCCCCCAGCACAGAGAGCCCCGGATTAGCACAGTACGTGCACCTTGAACCGGAGAGACTTCAGGGCATCCCAACCCAAAATAGCTTTAGGCTCGAGGAAGGGTCAGGAGAGCAGGTGTGTGGGCTTCCAGGAGAAGCTCGTTGTTGAGGGCAGACACCTCCTCCTGGTCTTTGGGTGGGTCCCTCTGGGAAAGGAGCCGGCAATTTTTGCTTCTCCTGGGGCGTCCCTTGTGCTTGGCTGTGGTCCTTCAGGGTGGGCTTTCCAGGACAGCCCCTCTCCCCTTGCAGGAGGGAGACTTCGTGGCTTTGGAACCCGACCTGAGGTCCTCTTCTCAGCGGCCAAGGCACCCCAGGCTCAAAGTTGCAGCGACACTGCGGCCAGCATGCAGGTCCTGGGCATTGTGACCTCAGCTGTTCCACACACAGAGAGGTGGGCATCCTGCCCTCACCTCAGCCTGTAACCTGCAGTGGCCTGGTCCCGGGGGCCCATTGTGGGGAGGTTGGGAAGTTGAAGAACACTCTGGCCTCCTCCATCATGTCGGCCAAGAGGGCAGAACTGAAGAAAACAAACCTGGTAAAGGAGAAACGTTGCTGGCCAATGTGGGGCCTCTTTGAACTCTCACTGGATGGAGTTGGGGGGTACAGAGAGTCCCCAACGAACCCTCGGCTTTTCTTTCTACCTTTGAGCATGACGGGGCCTCTCAGGCGGGAAGGAGGGTGGGGAATGGACCCCTGGGCTTGGGGTGGGAAGGACCCCCACCAGGAAAAGGAGCACCGAAATGCCCCACCCCTATCCCGGCCACTCCGGAGCCATGACCCCAGCCAGGCCCGCATCTTACCCGCGTGTTTAAGGCACACAAGAACCTCATCAGATAAAGGTAATTATCATCCACAATTTACAGACGAGGAAGTGAAGGCTCAGAGAAGCTAAATAACGTGCCTAAGTCAACACAGCTGGTAAGGAGGGCAGCTGAGACTAGAATTCAAGTCTGTCTGTCTACCTCCAAAGTCAATGCTCCTGAAAAAATACTTAGACGGCTTCCTTGAGTTATCTTAAAGTGTCCCTGCCAGCCCTCACCCCCGCCAGCTCCCCAGGGAGAGGGCTGCCTGCCGAACAGGCAGGTGTCACTCATGAGAGGAGTAGAGCATGAGAAAATGTGAGTTATCTTGGCCCAGGCGCTGGGGGTATGTGGGCCTGAGCCTAAGCGCAGTTGGACAGGCAGGGTCGGGTGGGTGGAGGGTCCTCCCCAGTCCTGATGCCTGGCAGCCTGAATCCCAGCCTCCTGTCTCTGCAGAACAAGAACTACAAGGCAGTTTGCCTGGAATTGAAGCCAGAGCTGATCAGAGTAAGAAGCTTGTTTGAGGCCATACCGTCAGCCAGGCCTGAGACGCATGAGGAGGTGACTTGGAGTCAGGGGTCATTCGCTGTCCCTGGTGGCCAAGACTTGTCCCAGATGCTGGCGGATATATTGAGAGAGAGACAAGCTCTCTGCTCTCACAGAACAAAGCGGATACCTAAATAAATAAGGAAAAATTCAGCAGTTTTACCTATGATGCAGGGAATTAAAATAGGGAGATGTGACTGGGGGGGGCTGCTGGGGGTTGAGGGCATCAGGAAGGCCTTCCTCTGAGCTGAGAGCTGTAGGACAAGCCTGCGGCCCCTGGAGGGCTGAGGACAAGCGCTGTGGGCAGAAAAAGCAGTGCGCACAGAGGCCCTGAGGTGGGAATGAGTATGTCTGTGGAGGGGACAGAAAGCTGAGGCCCAGTGGGCCAGGAAGGGAGTGGAATGAGATGAGCTCAGAGAGGGGAGAAGGATGGAGGAAACTCCTGCACAGGTGAGGCCAGGTTACCTCTGCGCTGACCCAAAGGGAGGAGCAGAAACTCGGGGTCATCCCTCCTGCCTCACCCTCCCACGCCTGCAGTTTCCAATATTCTGTGTCTCTGTTTCCAACCAACAGACATATGACTACAAAGGAGCTAAACAAGAAGGGCCATGTACCAAACCAGGAGGGACAAAGGAGCTAAAGGTAGGTGTGTGGACCCAGGAGACAGGAAGTTGGATCAGCACAGTGAACAGGTGGGGCCAACAGAACAACTTCTGCAGCAGGTGAACTGCCGGCATCTACAGTTCTGCTCCAGCCCCTGTGACTCCTTTCCTTCTGGTTCTCTCTATTTTAAAATAATTTCAGACTTACAGAATATTTTCCAAAAAATGGTACAATGAGTTCTAGTATACCCTTCCCCCAGATTCCCAAATGTTGGCATTTTATCTTGGGTTTTTTTCATCTCTTTCATATTCACACACCTATATATAACATATATATTTCCTGAACCATCTGCGAGCAAGTGGTTCTCTCAAATTTCGGTATATATTTCCTCAAAACAAGAACACTCTCTTACACAGCCACAGTACAATTATCCAAACATCAAAAGCAGGAAATTAGTGTTGATACAGTTCTCACCTACAGCCCTTATTCTAATTTCACCAGTTATCCCACTAATGTCTTTCATAACAAAAGAGAAGATAACTTTTTTGGTCTGGGATCCAATCCAGAATCACACCTTGCATCTAGTTTCCATGTCTCTTCAGTCTTTTTTCGTCTGGAACAGTTCTTCGACCTTGTCTTTTGGGACACTGTCATTTTTGATGACAAATCATTTATTTTGTAGAATGACCCTGAATTTGGGTTGTCTGATGCTTCCTCACCATTAGACTTAGGCCATACATTTTTCGGTTCTCACACCACAGGAGTGAAAGTATGACCTTTTCAAAGTGCATCACATCTGGAGGTACTGGATGTCTGTGTGTCCCACTATCCTATTTTCTTAATAGCATCCTTTCTTTCCTCCCTGCTGGCATCTATCTCTCTGCTCCTCTTTTGGCAATTCCCCAGGATCTTTCCTTTCCTCCTTTTGACTGTTTCCCTTCCATCCAAGACATTTCTTTACTCCTTCTCTATTTTATTTTCTCAGAATGAACTCAGGGAGGTGAGGGAAGAGCTCAAGGAAAAAATGAAGGAGATAAAACAGGTAACAGGATGAGACTTTTCAGCTCACGGAGAAAAAGTGTAGCTTCAAGGAAAATGCAATGCCTAACTTTGAATAGTAAAGAAAATCAGAAATTGCATGGAAAAAGCAATCAAACCAGCTGAGCCCAAATCCCCTAGAATGTTTAAGTGTCAGCAGCTTAGGTTATCTGTTTCTTACTTGTTTCGTGCTTAAACCCAAATTTTGAATGATAAGGGCTCTCTAAGATATCTCATTGATAAGGGTGGGGAGATACACCCTTAGTGACAGAGTGAGAGGGGCTGATCTGGAATTGGGGGGCAGTCAGGGACCAATTCCATTGTCCTAATACTCCTCCCCTGAGCGAGCTGCAGAGCAAGAATCCTCTTCTTGTTTCTCTGACGGAATCACCTATAGCATATTTATGAACAAAGGAAATGCTCAAGCAAGAACGTGTAATTGAAGCTGTGGTCTGAGCTCCACATGGCAGCCTTGCAATGACCAGATCCAAGCTGTGCCAAGGCTGCTGCTGGTGTTGACTTGATGATACACTCACCCTAGTCCCTTCACAGACTTTTGGGAAGAAAGTGGCTTTAGTAGGCCATTATTAGAACATTCCTTAATCTTGATCTAGCTCATTCCAGGGGAGCAGCTGCAGCCCTTAGCTTAAAATGCCTGAAAGACAACTCCACATTCAATGATGTGCTCTTTGCCTTTCTTCCTCACTAGATAAAAGATGTAATGGACCAGGAATTTGAAAAACTCCAGGAATTTGTGGAGATTATAAAGGTAAGCATTTACTGAGTGCCCTCCATGGGCCAGTACCATACGAGGAGTCATGCAAGGAGATGCCAGAGCCTGCCCTGCAAGTGCTTACAGCTTAATAAGAGACCCAAACTCTATTGCAAAAAAGAATTAAATAACAAGTAAGTACCAAGCTAAATGATGACTGGTTGTCAACTAACCAGGGGTTTAGAGAAGTGAGTAACGAATGTGGGTTGGGGTAACCAGAAAAGTCCTTTTAGAGGAAGTGAGCCTTAAGGTGAGTCTTAAGGCAGCATTGGAAGTTTAATGTGAATCTAACCAAGAGCCCAGTAAGATTATTTTTGAGCTCAATAATTACTAAAATGATCATCTAGGTTCTAGAATAGCAGTTTACAGACGTTGGTGGGTTTCAGAATCACCAGGAGCACAAATATAGGAAACAGAGCTCAGGCCCTGTGTTGATGGGCCTGGCACCCTGGGGTTTTGTTCGTGTTCCCCAGGTAGAAGTTTGAGAACAACAAATGCAGAAGCATAAATAGACAAAAGCATTTATTTATAAATTTTTCAAGAGTTGTAAGGGGGCATTACTTCTACCAGATATTAAAATCGTAATGAAGCCAACTTAATAATCAAATTAAGGTGGTACAGCCCAAGGATAACCAGACAAATGAAGAAGCCAACATAGATAATCCTGTAACAGCCTCTCTGCCAGGGATGCACTGAGAATCACTTCGGAGGATTTCTAAAGTCCATTTACCCAGGCCCTGGCCCAGATGAACTGAATAAAAACCTCCAAGTTTGGGCACAGTTGCTCAAAACTCTTCAGTGCTTCAGATGCTTGCTCCTGATGAGAACCAGGTCCTTAGCACTTTAGCAGTAGTTATTAACATTGGCTATGTGCTGATATCACCTGTACTGTGGATTTGAACAGCTCCTCTTTACACCTGGCTGCACCCCATAGCAATTATATCAGAACCTCTTAATATGAGGTCTGCGGACTTCCCTGGAGGCACAGTGGTTAAGAATCCACCTGCCAGTGCAGGGAACACGGGTTTGACCCCTGGTCCAGGATGATCCCACATGGCGCGGAGTAACTAAGCCCGTGCGCCACAACTACTGAGCCTGTGCTCTAGAGCCCTCGAGCCACAACTACTGAGCCCACGCACTGCAGCTACTGAAGTCCATGTGCCTAGAGCCCGTGCTCCGCAACAAGAGGAGCCACCGCAATGAGAAGCTTTCGCACCTCAACGAAGAGCAGCCCCGGCTCGCCGCCACTAGAGAAAACCCACGCACAGTAACAAAGACCCAACGCAGCCAAAAATAAATTAAAAAAAAGAAAGAATGGAGGCAAAAATCGAGAAGATGCAAGAAATGTTTAACAAAGACCTAAAAGAATTATAGAACAAACAAACAGAGATGAACAATACAATAACTGAAAGGAAAAATACACTAGAAAGAATCAATAGCAAAATAACTGAGGCAGAAGAACAGATAAGTGACCTGGAAGACAGAATGGTGGAATTCACTGCTGTGAAATGAAATAAAGAAAAAAGAATGAAAAGAAATGAAGACAGACTAAGAGACTTCTGAGACAATATTAAATGCAACAGCATTAGCATTATAGGGGTTCCAGAAGGAGAAGAGAGAGAGAAAGGACCAGAGAAAACATTTGAAGAGATTATAGTCAAAAACTTCCCTAACATGGGAAAGGAAATAGCCACCCAAGTCCAGGAATCACAGAGAGTCCCATACAGGATAAACCCAAGGAGAAACACGCCGAAACATATAGTAATCAAATTGGCAAAAATTAAAGACAAAGAAAAATTATTGAAAGGAGCAAGGGAAAAATGACAAATAATATACAAGGGAACTCCCATAAGGTTAACAGCTGATTTCCCAGCAGAAACTCTACAAGCCAAAAGAGAGTGGCATGATATATTTAAAGTAATGGAAAGGAAGAACCTACAACCAAGATTACTCTACCTGGCAAGGATCTCATTCAGATTTGATGGAGAAATCAAAAGTTTTACAGACAAGCAAAAGCTAAGAGAATTCAGCACCACCAAATCAGCTCTACAACAAATGCTAAAGGAACTTCTCTAAGTGGGAAACACAAGAGAAGAAAAGGACCTGCAAAAACAAACCCATAACAATTAAGAAAATGGTCATAGGAACATACGTATCGATAACTACCTTAAATGTGAATGGATTAAATGCCCCAACCAAAAGACACAGGCTCACTGGATGGATACAAAACCAAGACCCATATATATGCTGTCTACAAGAGACCCACTTCAGACCTAGGGACACATACAGACTGAAAGTGAGGGGATGGAAAAAGACATTCCATGCAAATGGAAATCAAAAGAAAGCTGGAGTAGCAATACTCATATAAGATAAAATAGACTTTAAAATAAAGAATGTTACAAGAGACAAGGAAGGACACTACATAATGATCAAGGGATCAATCCAAGAAGAAGATATAACAATTATAAATATATATGCACCCAACATAGGGGCACCTCAATACATAAGGCAACTGCTAACAGCTGTAAAAGAGGAAATCAACAGCAGCACAATAATAGTGGGAGACTTTAACACCTCACTTACACCAATGGACAGATCATCCAAACGGAAAATTAATAAGGAAACAAAAACAGCAGATTACACTTTCTTCTCAAGTGCGCACAGAACATTCTCCAGGATAGATCACATCTTGGTTCACAAATCAAGCCTCAATAAATTTCAGAAAATTGAAATCATATCAAACATCTTTTCTGACCACAATGCTATGACATTAGAAATCAATTACAGGGGGAAAAAAGGTAAAAAACACAAACACATGGAGGCTAAACAATATGTTACTAAATAACCAAGAGGTCACCGAAGAAATAAAAGAGGAAATTAAAAAATACCTAGACAAATGACAACAAAAACATGACGATCCAAAACGTATGAGATGCAGCAAAAGCAGTTCTAAGAGGGAAGTTTATAGCAATACAAGCCTACCTCAAGAAACAAGAAAAATCTCAAATAAACAATCTAACATTACACCTAAAGGAACTAGAGAAAGAAGAACAAACAAAACCCAAAATTAGCAGAAGGAAAGAAATCATAAAGATCAGAGCAGAAATAAAGAGCAAAGATCAATAAAACTAAAAGCTGGTTCTTTGAGAAGATAAACAAAACTGATAAACCATTAGCCAGACTCATGAAGAAAAAGAGGGAGAGGACTCAAATCAATAAAATTATAAATGAAAAAGAAGTTACAACAGACACCGCAGAAATACAAAGCATCCTAAGAGACTACTACAAGCAACTCTATGCCAATAAAATGGACAACCTGGAAGAAATGGACAGATTCTTAGAAAGGTATAACCTTCAAAGACTGAGCCAGGAAGAAATAGAATATATGAACAGACCACTCACAAGTAATGAAATTGAAACTGGGATTAAAAATCTTCCAACAAACAAAAGTCCAGGACCAGATGGCTTCACAGGTGAATTCTATCAAACATTTAGAGACGAGCTAACACCATCCTTCTCAAACTCTTCCAAAAAATTGCAAAGGAAGGAACACTCCCAAACTCATTCTATGAGGCCACCATCACCCTGATACCAAAACCAGACAAAGATACTACAAAACGAGAAAATTACAGACCGATATCACTGATGAATATAGATGCAAAAATCCTCAACAAAACACTAGCAAACAGAATCCAACAACACATTAAAAGGATCATACACCATGATCAAGTGGGATTTATCCCAAGGATGCAAGGATTCTTCAATATATGCAAATCAATCAATGTGATACACCATATTAACAAATTGAAGAATAAAAACCATATGATCATCTCAATAGATGCAGAAAATAGATGCACAAAATTCAACACCCATTTATGATAAAACCACTCCAGAAGGTAACCTACCTCAATATAATAAAGGCCATGTATGACAAACCCACAGCAAACGTCATTCTCAATGGTGAAAAACTGAAAGCATTTCCTCTAAGATCAGAAACAAGACAAGGATGTCCTCTCTCTCCAATATTATTCAACATACTTTTGGAAGTCCTAGCCATGGCAATCAGACAAGAAAAAGAAATAAAATGTATACAAATTGGAAAAGAAGAAGCAAAACTGTCACTGTTTGCAGATGGCATGATACTATACATAGAGAATCCTAAAGATGCCACCAGAAAACTGCTAGAGCTAATCAATGAATTTGGTAAAGTTTCAGGATACACAATTAATGCACAGAAATCTCTTGCATTCCTATACACTAATGATGAAAAATCTGAAAGAGAAATTAAGGAAACACTCCTATTTACCATTGCAACAAAAAGAATAACATACCTAGGAATAAACCTACCTAAGGAGACAAAAGACCTGTATGCAGAAAACTATAAGACACTGATGAAAGAAATTAAAGGTGATACCAACAGATGGAGAAATATACCATGTTCTTAGGTTGGAAGAATCCATATTGTGAAAATGACTATACTACTCAAAGCAATCTACAGATTCAATGCAATCCCTATCAAATTACCAATGGCATTTTTTACAGAACTAGAAGAAAAAATCTTAAAATTTGTATGGAGACACAAAAGACCCCAAGTAGCCAAAGCAGTCTTGAGGGAAAAAAACGGAGCTGGAGGAGTCAGACTCCCTGACTTCCGACTATACTACAAAGCTACAGTAATCAAGACAATATGGTACTGGCACAAAAACAGAAATATAGATCAATGGAGCAGGATAGAAAGCCCAGAGATAAACCCACACACCTATGGTCAACTCATCTATGACAAAGTAGGCAAGGATATACAATGGAGAAAACACAGTCTCTTCAATAAGTGGTGCTGGGCAAACTGGACAGCTACATGTAAAGGAATGAAATTAGAACACTCCCTCACACCATGCACAAAAATAAACTCAAAATGGATTAGAGACCTAAATGTAAGATCAGACACTATAAAACTCTTAGAGGAAAACATAGGAAGAACACTCTTTGACATAAATATCAGGAACAACTTTTTTGATCCCCCTCCTAGAGTAATGGAAATAAAAACAAAAAGAAACAAATGGGACCTAATGAAACTTACAGCTTTTGCGAAGCAAAGGAAAGTACAAACAAGGTGAAAAGACAACCCTCAGAATGGGAGAAAATATTTGCAAACAAAGCAACCGACAAAAGATTAATCTCCAAAATATATAAACAGCTCATGCAGCTCAATATTAAAAAAAACAAACAACACAATCCAAAAATGGGCAGAAGACCTAAATAGACATTTCTCCAAAGAAGACGCATGAAAAGCTGCTCAACATCACTAATTATTAGAGAAATGCAAATCAAAACTACAATGAGGTATCACCTCACACCAGTTAGAATGGGCATCATCAGAAGATCTACAAACAACAAATGCTGGAGAGGGTGTGGAGAAAAGGAAACCCTCTTGCATCTTTGGTAGGAATGTAAATTGATACAGCCACTATGGAGAACAGTATGGAGGTTCCTTAAAAAACTAAAAATAGAATTACCATATGACACAGCAATCCCACTACTGGGCATATACCCAGAGAAAACCGTAATTCAAATAGACACATGCACCCCAATGTTCATTGCAGCACTATTTACAATAGCCAGGTCATGGAAGCAACCTAAATGCCCAGCGGCAGACAAATGGGTAAAGAAGATGTGGTACATATATACAATGGAATATTACTCAGCCATAAAAAGGAACAAAATTAGGTCATTTGTAGAGACATGGATGAATCTAGAGACTGTCATACAGAGTGAAGTCAGAAAGAGAAAAATATTGTATATTAATGCAAATATGTGAAACCTAGAAAAATGCTACAGATGAACCGGTTTGCAGGGCAGAAATAGAGAGAGATGTAGAGAAGAAATGTATGGATGCCAAGGGGGGAAAATGGTGGTGGGGGGAGGGATAATTTGGGAGACTGGGATTGACATGTATACACTACTATATATAAAGTATATAACTAATAAGGACCTACTGTATAGCACAGGGAACTCTTCTCAATACTCTGTAGTGACCTATATGGGAAAATAATTTTAAAAAGAGTGGATATATGTATAGATATAACTGATTCACTTTGCTGTACAGCAAAAACTAACACAACATTTTAAATCAATTATACTCCAATAAAGATTAATTTAAAAAAAAAGAATATTGCCTGACTATATAAGGGAAAAGCTTAACTCAGTTAACACTATAAACTGAAATAGTATATAAAGTGAATTTTAAAAATAAAAATAAGAAGTATGTATTTAACTGGATGGTCCAAATATAATTACAATGGAAGAAATCACAAAGGAAATATTGTTAATGTTTAACAATACAAAAAATTTAAAAATTATAACAGAAAAGCACCATACACAGAGTGAAAAAGTAAGCAACAGTTTTGGAGAAATAATTTTCCACAAATATGATAGACATAGAAAAAAAGCTTTTTATCTGTAACCTACAAATCTCACACAATCAATAAGAACCAACTAGGAAAATGGGCAAAGGGTATATGTGAACAGTCCACAGAGGGGAATATTACTAAAAAGCAATAAATATATTAACAACTTTTACCTCATGAGTAATCAAATAACTGCAAATGAAAACAATACTTAGATAACTGCCACATTCAAATAAGCCAAGTTGTAATTTATGACAATTATAAAGCAAGATAAGAATGCTCTTGTACTGCTGATTGGAGTACAAGATTGTACAAAACTAAAAAGGAATTAGACAATAGGTATCAAAAATATCAAAACTCCATGACTTATCAACTCCTTGACTTCTCAGAATTTAACCTATGAGAATAATCAGAAATGCCAGCATGGATATATATAAAAAGAAGTTCATCACAGGATTATTTATAATAGCAAAAAATTGTAAACAACCACTATTTTCAAAAGTAGAGGAATAGCCAATAGAATTACGATACATCTATATAATGAAAATTCACTATAGGAGACAGAATTTAGAAAGAATACTTTTAATGAGAAGTAAAAAAGCAAGATGCAAGTAATATATACAGGCTGATCTCAACAGGTGAAAAGAAATTGGTAAGTAAATATATAGAAAAAAGACTGGAAAGAAATATACCAAAAGGGTTAATTGCTGTTATTGAAAGGTGATGAGATTAATTTTTTCTTTTATATTCCTCTGTATTGTCCAAATTTTCTGCAAAGGGCATGTCTTATTTCTATATCAAAATGCAAACACAGTAAGTGTTTTGTTAGTGGGTAGGACTGGGTATCACAAGGCACAAAGGAGGCTATTTCGGGCACGGGAACAGCTTGCACACAGCATGGAAGCAGGATGAACGCGAAGCTTCTCAGTCAGTGGGGAGATCGGTCATAAAAGAGGGATCATGGGGGGAAACTGTGAGAAATAAAATGGAATGGGCACAAAGGCGGTGGATAATGAAGGCTTCTGAAAGACAGGCAGACAGGTTGGGACTTGGTTGTGTAAGCAGTAAGAGGCCTCTGGAGATTCTTAATCAAAGAACATGCTAGGAGCAGCACTTCAGAAAGCTGAGCTGGCAGCTGCTTGCAAGGTGGCCTGGGGGCGCCGGGGGAGTCGGTGGGGGCCGTCTGGAGCAAGAATATCAAACTGGAAGCCGCATCTCTGCTCAAGGTGAAGAAAGCTGGACCAAGTGTAGAAACAGAAGGAAAAGGGTAAAAATCTGAAAGATGCAGCAAAGGAAAGACAACATTCTTGGTGATTGATTCAGTATAAAGAATGAAGGAGAGGCAAGCGTGCATGACAACACCAAAGTTTTAATCTGGACGATTAGAAAAAAGTGGTGACAGTGACAGGCTAGTTGGGAAGCAGCTAATTTAGAAGAGAAAGTGAAGAGGTCAGTTTGGAACGTGATGAGTTTGAAGTGATGGTGAGACTTTTAAGAATATGGGACGTTTTGACTCTGATGTTTTAGACCCGGGGGAATATTGACTTCAAGGATATTTGACTTTATTTACAAATACAAATGTCTTATTCAAAATGTATACGAACATTTTTAAATGCTTTTCAAGAAGATATTTTTTGGAAATCATTTCCATCCTGACGGTGTAATTCCTTGATCAATTTTCTACCCCAGATCAGTAAACTCTCCCCAGATCTTTCATTTTTTATTAAAATGGTTTTCCTAGAAGGAAATTATTATTATTATTTTTTTTTTTTTTTTTTTTTTGCGGTAGGCGGGCCTCTCACTGTTGTGGCCTCTCCCGTTGCGGAGCACAGGCTCCAGACATGCAGGCTCAGTGGCCATGGCTCACGGGCCCAGCCGCTCCGCGGCATGTGGGATCTTCCCGGACCGGGGCACAAACCCATGTCCCCTGCATCGGCAGGCACACCCTCAACCACTGCGCCACCAGGGAAGCCCCAAAGCAAATTATTTTTCATTTATATTTTGTGATATTCAATCCAACCCTGTTTTTGTCCTTAACAGATATTGTCACTAATACTGTCACCATCTTAGAAGTTCTTTGTGACCACTATTTCTATCCAATTTTTCCAGGTCAAATTTTACGGATCTAAGATTTGCCAAGAAGATTTTATTATTATTTCAGTTCTTAATAATAACTGTGAGGTGCCATTTGAGCTACTGTCTACTTTATTTTGCGTTGACCATTTCTGCCAGGAGTTGGGTAAAATATGGAACAAACGCAGATACACAGGATCTACGTACATGGCAGGGGTCAAAACACTGGTGTCAGAAACGTCTTTGTGGGGGAGGTCACGGGGTTTGTTTTCTTTTTATAAATTTGTTTACTTTATCTATTTATTTTTGGCTGTGTTGGGTCCTTGCTGCTGTGCGCGGGCTTTCTCTAGTTGTGGCGAGCGGGGGCTACTCTTCGTTGTGGTGCGTGGGTTTCTCATTGCAGTGGCTTCTCTTGTTGTGGAACACGGGCTCCAGGAGTGTGGGGCTTAGTAGCTGTAGCTTGCAAGCTCAGTAGTTGTGGCTCCTGGGCTCTAGAGCCCAGGCTCAGTAGCTGTGGCACACGGGCTTAGTTGCTCTGTGGCATGTGGGATCTTCCCGGACCAGGGCTCAAACCTGCATTGGCAGGCGGATTCTTAACCACTGCGCCACCGGGGAAGATTGCATAGGCATTGAACCAAGGCAGCTAAGGGTTTTATTCAAGTGTGAGATCAGGTAAAATAGATCCTGGCCTCTGACTCACATGGAGACTTTGGACAAGCCCCCAATGACTCTGCCTGTGCTTCAGCTTCACTATGGAATGGGTGAGGTCACAGGGAGGGGTAGCACGTGTCAGGCACATCCTGATGAGCCACCCTACCCAGGGCTGGTGAGGATTCTTGAGGAAGTAAGATGCTGCGGTGGTCTCTGAGTGGTCTGCAGAGTGAGGCAGGAAAAGGGACTTCAAAAGCCCTTCATGATGATGATTTTAGCTTTGAATTCTCTCTTGAAGGAAATGCAAAAGGATGTGGATGAGGAGATGGATGTTTTAATAAATATACAGAAGAATAGCAAGCGGTGAGTGTAACCTGCACCCGTCTCTCCTCAACCCTAAAGAATCTCCTCCCTTCGCTTTGCGAAGTGTCCTTGGGGTTCAGTGGACTCCCAGACCCTTCAAGGAGCTCTCTTGGTTTCTCTTCCCCAGTGGCTTGTAGTCAAGGCCTTCCACGGCCAACCATGCTACCGGTTATCTCCTTTCCTGTTGAAAATTATCTCCTCAGTTCTGCCCCTCCCTGACTCCCCAGTCCTCTCAGGAGAGGACCAAAGGAGCAGCAAGAACTCAGGCTGATAGGAAAGATGGACACAGACCCACAGATCCGGCGGAAGAAAATGGATGGAGCTGATGGAGTACCACTTGCCCTTCACAAAAAGATGACGGCACTACAACAACCAAAAAAAGATCCAATGGATTCCCTTCACCAATGTGATACCTGCTGTGTAATGAAGCCCTCCCTGCCCCTGCCCCAGTGTTACACCCCTGGGTTTCTGTTCCCCCTGACCTCCCCTGGGCTCTCTCACTCTCTTACCTCTTGCTGTAAAGCACTAGTTCCACTCCTCTCCTGGCCCCAGGATGCCTCCCTAGTCTTGAGTCCTCTCTGGGGTCTTGCCCTATAGGCCTGGGGTGATTCCGAAACCATGACCAAGTAGGACTCCACCGTGGATGCACCTGTTCCCAAGTGCAACTGTATTGTTCTGTCCTTTCCTATAGCAAGACCTGATGAGGTGCCCAGCAGCCTGGCCATCTTGGACCAGGGAAAAATGATCTTTCTGGTGCCGCTTCCGTCCTCCATAGGAGAAATGTTTGTTGTGTGCCCCCAAAGAACAACTACAATCAGCGGTAGGTAGATCCATGGAAGCCCCTTATCTCAATCCGGTGCCCCGTCCTCCCAAAGGCAGTGTGCTCAGGGGTGCATTCCCATCAAATCTCACCCGTGGTTATGGTTATGCAGGCTCTGCCCCACATCACATCCACTCAGCCTTAGAGGACGTGGCACACGAAGGAGGACTTGCTTAGCCCAGCCTGGAGGCTGCTGCCTAGAGGCCCCCGTGGAGTGGAGGGTGCCTTGCCAGTTGCTGAGCTGACCTTGCCTCAGGCTCCTGACTTTCTCCCCATATAACAGGCAACTTCCATACCAGGCCTGGGCATCCTTTTCACCCTCGGCATCTGGACGTGCTTTCTGATTTATCTGTGCTTCAAGTCCTGTGTGACTGAGGACGTAGTTCCAACTTAGTGTCACCGCAGGACCTATGAGCGGCTCCGGTTCAGCCTCTCCCCACTCCTTGAGCTGCACAGCAAATGCTTGCTGCCCTCTTGCATACCACCCTGCCCTTGTCTCCCTCTACCCAGAGAGTAAAATCTTCATTTAAAGCCAAAGCGGGAGTCAAAGCGTTGAATATCAGCCTGAAACTTGAGTGTGCAAGGAGTGTCACTGTTTTGGATTGAAATCAGTGTATTTCAGACTCCAACCTCTCTTCTTGCTTCCTGATGGTTTAGTGGAAAATTCTTCAGGTCATCCTTAGGGTCTTCCTAAGGATGATCCTTCCCCCCTCATCCCTGCTTCCCTCCTCTTCACCTGGTTCTGAAAATGTCCCAGGTCAAAAGAGAGGAAGGGAGGCCCTGAAGATATCAGATGCCATTCTGCGTGATCCCAGAAGTGTGCGTGTGAGTGTGTGTGTGCGCGCACACGCCCGTGTATGTTGGACAATGGGAGGAACCCCCGGGCCCAGGGTCTTGACCACTGGACTGCCGGGGAATTCCCACACGTGCCAGTTTTAAGAACTAAGACAAGGTCATCAAGGACACGGGGCTGTCAGGATCAGTTGAAGTGCTGAGTCTTTTTTTGTGCAAATGATCGTACACTGCTAATCAAGCCCCCAAGGACTGGTGGCAGTGGTCTCTGCAGTCCCTGTCCCTTGACCCTTTCCAAGCTCCCCCGTGCCCTAGTTCCATGTCCTCCAACTCAGAGGCAGCAGAAGGACGACACTGTGTGTTGGGGGGGATAGTTCTGCCTGGCTGTCATGTCTGCCCTTGGGAATGGACGTTTGGGGAGCCACAGCCTGCCATTCCTGCCAGTGTGCTCTTGGGCCAGCTTTGCTGGTGAGCTTGTGCTTTTTCTGTAGGTCTCAATGTCATGTCATCTGGAAGGGAATTATACTTAACCTTGTGTCTTCTCCCAAAGATGCTATTCCTGTCCCGCGTACAGAGCCTCTTGGGGGACATTGGCCTGACCTGGGCCACCATTTCTGCTTTGTGCGGCAGCATCCAATTGATCCAAGCAAGGTGGACAGGCAACTCAACTTGCCCAATCGATTTCTTTCCCTGGGAATTTGAAATTGGAATTTGGTGAGACTCAGCTGGCCCCCAGAACTGGACTTATAACTGGGAGCTGAAGAGGCCTCTGCCACCATTGGCCAAAGACGCAGATCTACAGAAAAAATAAATAAATCACTTTGCAGAGAGAGAAGAATGAAACAGAGGGACTGAGAGAAGTGGAGACTCGTGCAGTTCCGCAGAGGGAGCTGGGAGAGCCACTGTCTGGCTCAGGCCCTGCTGGGCTGGTGCTGGCCCCTGCCTTGGCTTCATGAAAGCCTCTGGACCCTTGGACCGAGGTGCACATTTCTGTTTAAGCAGAGTGGCTTTCTGTTTCCACCTAACAAGCCTGAGCTGAGGCCCCACGGTTAGAAGGAATGTCAGAGATTGGTCAAATCTCTTCAATTTACAGTGAGGATTCTGAGGCCCAGAGAGGTGCAGTGAGGTACCCTCAGGCACACAGCCCATTTATAGCAAAGCCAGGACCAGAACCCAGGTTTTCTGACTCCTGGGCCAGTGCTCTGTGGCTCTCTGGGGCTAGCTGTATTTCCAAGGGCAATAAGATGAGATAGAAGGCAGTCAGCTGGATCTGGACATGAATCAGTGGCGTGGTCGCAGGTAAGTCACTTCACCTCTCAGATTGCTTTTCCATCTGGAACGTGGGCATAACCACACCTAATTCAAAGTGGGTGAAGAGGGCATAACCACACCTAATTCAAAGGGGGTGTAATGAGAGTTAGATGAGAGCACATGCAGAGGAATTCAATTCTTTAAAAAAAATTGCTCTGAGAACAATGATGATGAGGTCAGAACTGCGTTTTTCAGATTAAAAGGCTTCAATTCTCCATCCCGCCTCCAGTCAGAACCAGGTCTGCAATAAAATGAATTTTGATCTACTCCGATTTTAAAAAATAAATGTTCTGAGAGGAGGAAGGATGTGTATATTAGGAAATCAATCAACAAGAAATTATAAAAATGGTATGGGGATTGGGACTGCCTGTTCTAGAGTACAGAGTGGTCCCTTGTAACACAGCATCCCACCCTGTAACCTCGGTGTCTGATTCCAGCAGGGTGAGGGGTAAGCGGCTTACCCTAGCTCACGCGCAGGTAACAGGTGCTGCAGCCCCAGGCCCTGACTCAAGCAGTCACCAGAGAAACAGGAGGGTGCGTCATTTAGCAGCCATCAGGCAGGCAGGGCTGGGCCCAGGAGGAGGCCAGGCTGTGTCATCCATTCCCATCACTGCCCTGGGCCCTGGCATGACCCCCACTCACAGCTTCCCTTCTCTCGGTCACAGGCCGCAGCCAGCCCCAAAAGGTGGGTGAGGATGGGCTCAGGTGTCCACCACCACAGACGGGAGCCCCATCTCTCTCAGATGCAACAGGTCTGAGTATATCCATTTCCATGACAATGGGTTACCCACCCATCTTCCTAAGGGGAGTTGCCCTCTCTGGCTCCAGGGACCCCTAGAGCCTCCCTGAACCCCCTTCAGTATTTGAAAGGTCATTTACCCTCCTATACGTGTGATCAATGGGACTCTTTGGTACTTCCCTCTATATTAGATCAAAACACAACCAAACAGAAATCAAATCTCACTTCTGGGGCTTCCCTGGTGGCGCAGTGGTTGAGAGTCCGCCTGCCGATGCAGGAGACGCAGGTTCGTGCCCCGGTCCGGGAAGATCCCACATGCCGCGGAGCGGCTAGGCCTGTGAGCCATGGCTGCTGAGCCTGCGCGTCCGGAGCCTGTGCTCCACCACGGGAGAGGCCACAACAGTGAGAGGCCCGCGTACCAGAAAAAAAAAAAAATCTCACTTCTGGAGAATGAACAATGAGTCTGAAAGCCCAACCCCAATTCCAACTCTAGAGAACTCAGAAGGTGAAGAATATGCCTTCAGCAGGTGATGGAGCAGAATGGTGCAAGGTTCTGCCCACCTGACACTTTTTTATCAATATCAGCTTTTAAACGTGACCAAGAAGGTTTTTTTTTTTTTATGGATGATGAGTTTGTGGGGAGATGAGCAACTCCAATATGAGTCTAATCCATACAATATTTCTGAGGGCAATTAAGTGATACATATCAGATGCTTTAAAAGATGGGAAAACATTACAGATGGTCACTAGGATTTAGTTATAAGGATACTCATCATGGAGTCATTTATGATATACATATTTAAAAATCAGAAACAACATAAGTGGACACCAGTTGGTTAAATAAATTGTGGCACATCTATAAAATGGAATGCTCCACTGATATTAAGAATAATATGTTGTTGAAATATATTTAATGCCATCAAGAGATGTTAATGATATAATGTTAAATGAAAAAAAGCAAGTTATGAAATAAAGTATAAACCCATTTTTGGTAAAAATTTGGTGTGTGTGTTTGTGTGTGTGCACATAGGGAGGCCTGCATGAATTGAAAAGACTTAGAAGGATATATACAAGAATAGAGTAACAGCAGTGGTTTTCTCTGAGTAGTAGGATTATGACAATTTATGTCATACTTTGTGCCTATCTATAATCTCTAAAGTTTCTACAAGGAACATGCATTGTTTGTATAATAAAACTAATAACATTTTTCTTTTTTTAAGGAAGAGAAAGGTGGCCCAGGAAGGACCCTTACGAACAAAGTCAGGTGAGATCTCCCCAAATCCTTTCTGATGGGAAGCACCTTGGACCTTTCTCTTTCCTGGGAGTGGCCAGTGAAGTCATGCCCTGGCTATGTGTTCATCCAGAGGAAGGGGACGAATTAACACCACTAAAAGGACAATTTAAAAGGACAATAGAAAACAAAATGAAAATGGCTTTATGTTTTTACCCATGAGTGACCCTTATTCGATACGTATTCTCCCACCACTGCTACCAGGGGTCTCTGCACACTCCTCTCTCCTCTGAGGAATTACAGTGGTCTGGAGTAGAGAAGGAGCCCCTGCAGTCTATCCCCAACAAGCCAAACTTGTCCTTTTAGAATGTCACTTAGATCTCGTTGCTCTTATGCTCAGAATTTCCAGTGTTCGCCCATTTCTCTCAGAGCAAAATCCAAAGTTGATACTTGCAATGCCCTGTGGCATCAACCCTGCTACCTTCACACTCACATACTACTCTCCCCCTTACTTTCTGGGCTCTAGCCACACTGGCTTCTTTGTTCTTCACACGTACCGTGTACACTCTTGCCTCAGGGCCTTTGCACTCACAGACATTCCTGCCCATTTCCTCAGCTATCCGTGTGGCCGTCACCTCCAAGTTACCTTCTCAGTGGCACTTTCCCCATTTGTACAAACAACAATATCCCCACCTCCAGCATTCCTTATCCTCTTTACTCTGCTTTATTTTCCTCTCCAACTCACTTAGCACCGACTTACATACTATCCATTTCACTTGTGGTCTGTCTTCTTCTGCTCGGATGTGAGTTCCTTGAGAGCAGAGATTGTGTTTCCGTCACTGCTCTACGGCAGGGCCCAGGGCAGTGCCAAGTGCATAGCAGGGAGTTGACAGGGACTTGCTGAACGGACACATGAGTATAAAGATATTTGCCATGTACTGGGCACTGCAGGCTCTGCACTAAGATCTTCACCTGCACTGTTTCATTTTATTCTTACGATTACCGCATGAAATCATTCTGTCTGTCTTTCTCTGAAGTCATTTAAATGGTCATCCTCCCTATTTTGTATAGGTTGAAACAGGCTCAGAGAGAGAAGGTAATGAAAGTAATCTGTCTGAGGTCACAGAATAAGTGGCAGAGCTGGAGTTTGAACCCGAGCATTCTGATGTCAGAATCTCCCCGTGTGTCCCTGGGCCAGCAGCATTGGCATTACCTGGGAGCCTGTTAGAAATGCAGAGTCTCAGGCTATATGCCAGGCCTACTGAATCAGGACCTGCATTTTAACAAGACTTCTCAGGTGACTCCAGTGTCCATTGTAGTCTGAGAAGCAGTGCTCTATGCTGGGCCAGCAGGTGTATGGAAGATAGGGGGCTTCATTGAGCAAGGGGCTGCCGCAGTTTGGGTTAGTGGCCTTGGGTTCTTCACCCCTGTGGATGGTTCTCCTGCCTGCTACCCCTCGACCCAGGAGCTCTTTAGTATCTGCTGGGCTTTGGGGGGAACCAAGGTTCGTGATGAGGAGGGAAAACTCAATGCCAACCTCTGTCCAGGAGCCAGTCCTCCTGTGGGCACTGTTGCTTCTCTTTCTTGGAGGAAGGTCTCTCAGCTCACTCAGGGAAAACCAGACCTGTGCCTCTTAAAAGCATGTGAGAGAACCCATTGGCATCAGAGATGCAGCACTGAGACTGAAGCAGAAGCTAGTTCCACCTGACACTTAGGCACTCGGGCCAGGGAGGTTGTCAAAACAGAAACAAAATGTACTGTCAGGGCTTCCCTGGTGGCGCAGTGGTTGAGCGTCTGCCTGCCGATACAGGGGACACGGGTTCGTACCCCGATCCACGAAGATCCCACATTCCGCGGAGCGGCTGGGCCCGTGAGCCATGGCGGCTGGGCCCGTGAGCCATAGCTGTCGGAACCTGTTCGGCTGGAGCCGGTGCGCCACAACGGGAGAGGCCACAAAAGTGAGAGGCCCGCGTACTGCAAAAAAAATATAAACCTACTGTCAATTAAATTATTAATGCCTGGGAGCCCACCCTGACATCTATTTTTATCACTGAGCGCCACCTTCAGTCTTGACATTCATGAAGAGTGGGCCTGGAATAAAACCAGAAACCCACCCTTCCAGCCTCTCCCAAGCCCATTCAAAACAAGAGTAAACATAAATGTAAACCCAAGTATGTAAAAACCGACTACGAAAACTGACCAGCAGAGGGCACTGTGACCCCATCAGTCCCTGCCCCACTGACCTCTCCAGAAGGAAAAGCTGCAAAGACACAAGGAAGGAAATCACACAAGATTAGGGGTCTGGGTCCTGGGTCCCACCCCGACTTCATCTTTGGAATCTTGTGGGAGCCCAGGACACCTGACACCTCTGATCGGTGCCCACCAGCAAGCCAGTGGTCACCCACATAGGGATCGGTTCCAAAAGGCCACCGCCCAGTCTGGCATTTGGGATTCACAATGAAGTGACTTTCCTTTACTCCCTTATTTACTTAACCAGCATTGGTCGAGCACCTGCTGAGCCAGGCACAGGGCTAGACCATGCAATTTTCCCAAAAAGTGGTGGCATAACAATAGTTAGATTCTAAGGCTAGCCCCCTAAAGACTTTCAAATCAGAGAACTAATGAGATTACTTTCTGTTCTAGGGTCAGAGGAAAGAAATAGGGGAAGGGTAGCGTGGAGGAGAGGAAAGAAAGTGTGGGAAGAGCGAGGGGACCCCGGGGAAGAGGAAGGCAGTTTGGCTTCCAACCCCTGCCTGGTGCATATAAAATATGGAACCTTAAAAAGTTCGTTTTGACTTCCTCCCATTTCCCTTTCTAGACCCTGACTTGGGACTTAGCCTCTCCAGAGCCCTGGACTGCATGGGGCACTCCCAGAGCTCCTGCAGCACGCCCCAGCCCACGCTGCCCGTCGTGGAGGCCATGCTCCAGAGTTTTCTACCCCTCCACTCCCCGTCCACACCCCCAGGCCTGCAGCTGCCCTTCTCAGCTCCGTGTTGGCAGCTGAGTAATCCATTAAGCTAACACACCCTGATATATGGCAGATTGATCCTCCCAGGGACATGTGTATCTTTTCAAGATTACCCAAATTCACCTCTGAGTGGTAGATTCCCAGACAGTGGGCTGGAGGGACGTGACAATTTCAGGCTGTTTGTGTCGGGGGTGGTATTTTGAGAGAAAGGCCGGAGCACCTGCCAAGGGGTGTCTCACACAGTCTCTTAGAGGAGCTGGCAGGAGGGACTTCCAGGGCGGGGGTGGGTGCTAGTATGGAAAGGTCATTGGCAATAAAAGATTTGCAGGTCAGAGATTAATCTCTCTGAGCAGTTTTGAGTGCGTGCGTGTGTGTGTGTGTGTGTGTGTGTGTGTGTGTGCATGTGTGTGATTCCCTGTGTGTGCTGGGAGAAGGCCAGAGGGAGAAGGCCAGTTTAGGGGAAAAGGATGGACTGCAGGGCTGGATGCAGGAGAACCACTGAGGTAGGAGAAAGGGCCTCCCGGGGCCGGGGCCTCACTGTGGCAGCACCAGGCCTGCCTCTGCAAGGGCCACCTCCCGGGAGCATCGCTTGGCCGAGCACACTCTACAGATTCTGGCCGCAGAACAGAAGGCTGTGCTGCCCGCTGCCCTGCACGGTTCCCTGATGGCCAGAGACCTGCTCAGAAAGTCCTGCCTCGGCGGCTATGGGCGGGCTGGGGTCTGGAGGGCCTGCTGGTGGGAGGTAAGGGGACACTAAGGGGGCAGGGAGGATGGTGACAGGACCATTGCAAAGGCAGACTCCTCCATCGCAGCCACGGGCCACACAGCAGGCTTAACCAGGGTGCTTCGGGCTGAAGTTGTCCTTCAGAATGAATCTTGGGCATCAGGCACATTGCTTCCTCACTTCAGCTGCTCCCGAGGCTCCCAGAGGATCCCAAACCTGCCACTTGTTATTCCTCTGAAAGGGTCCACTGGCTGTGCAGGAAGTGAGGTGAGGAGGGAGGAAACCTCTTTGCTCACCAGGCCTTGGTACAACAGGAAGAGGTGCGTACCTGTCCACATGGAAGGATTTAAAGCTGGATTTAAAGCCCTGCCTGGTTCGTTGTGGAAATGTTTCCCCAGTTCTACCTCTCAAAGTCCCAGCCATCAATGGTGACAGAGGTCAAACTAGAGGTTCAGTCAGGGGAGGGTTCTAGAGTGCTGATAACATCCTATTTCTTAATCTGGGTGGTGGCGATATGGGTGTGTGCTATGTATAAAAATTTATGCATCAAACTGCAGATGTTAGATGGTGCAGCTGCTTTGGAAGACAGTTCGGCAGTTCCTCAAAAATTTAATGGAGTTACCATTATGACCCAGCAGTTCCACTCCTAGGTATACACCCCAAAGAATCGAAAATATGTGCTACACAGAAAACGTGTGTGTGAGTGTTTATAGCAGCATTACTCATAACAGCTAAAAGAGAGAAATAACCCAAATGTCTATCAGCTGGTGATGAATGACAAACAAAATGTGACCCAGCCATACCATGGTATATTACTCAACCATAAAAAGGAATGATGTACTGATACATGCTACAGCATGAATGGTCCTTGAAAACATTATGCTTAGTGAAAGAAGCCAGTCACAAAAGACTATATATATAATAGTATGATTTTATTAATAGGAAAAGTCCAGAACAGGGAAATCCACCGAGATAGAAAATATTGTAGATTAGTGATTGCTGGGGTCTGGGGGAGGGGGAAGTGGAGAATGAGTGCTAATGGATATGGGATTTCTTTGGGGGTATGATGAGAATGTTCTGGAATTAGTTAGTGGCAATGGTTATACAACTCTGTGACTGTATGAAAGATGACTGAAGTGTATACTTCAAAGGGGTGAATTTTATGGTGTGTGAATTTTATCTCAAAAACTGGATCAGGCGGTACACTTATGATTTGTTCCCTTCGATCTATGAATGTTATACCTTAATAATAATTTTTTTTAATTTAAAAGTGAAGATGCCACTTCTCTGTTGCTGTGGCTCCTGATTTTTAAAAAAAGTCACAGCAAAAATGCCACCTCCTCTATGACGGCTCCCTCACCCCTGCTCTGAGCTCCTTTAGCATTTAGTGCTGATATCCCACTTACTGCTTATTGCTTGTAGAGCCTGGCCGCTCAGAGTGCGACCGTGGACAAGCATCCCTGTATCCCTCGGAGGCTTTTTAGATGTGCAACATTTCATGCCCCGCGGACCTGCTAAATCAGACTGCCTTTCAACAAGATCGCCAGGTAATTCGCACGCACATTAAGATTTGAGAAACACTGCTCTAGAACAGGGGTTCCCAACACCCCGCCCTGGCCGTGGAAAAATTGTCTTCCATGAAACAGGTCCCTGGTGCCAAAAAGGTTGGGGACCGCTGGTCTAGAAGGTTTCCCCCACCTGCCTCCCCCTCTACCTGCTGCCTACACCTTACGACTGTCTTTGTCTCTCCCCACCTAGTGAGCATCAGCATTTGTGGATTCAGTGCTGGTGGCCTCAGAACTAAAGCCAATACCTACTCTAACTCTAAGACCAGGATAGAGAAACTGAAATCTGGGAACACTTTGGTCAGATAAAAGAATATGTCAACTTTGCATGTCCAAAGTGAGGTCTCCAAATACCATTTCCCACCGAAAGGCATCAGAGCTTTGGGAGAAATGGCTGATTCTAGGTCTAAGCAGAAAATGTACAAGTCTTCTCAAGTAATGTTTAAAAGATTCAGGAGCCAACTGGAAGAGACTCCCGCTGATCAAAATGGGGCCACTTGGGCTTCCCTGGTGGCGCAGTGGTTGAGAGTCCGCCTGCCGATGCAGGGGACACGGGTTCGTGCCCCGGTCCGGGAGGATCCCACATGCCGCGGAGCAGCTAGACCCGTGAGCCATAGGCCCGCGTACCGCAAAAAAAAAAAAAAAAAAAAAAAAAAAATGGGGCCACTTGAGCATCAGTAAGAATATTAACTGCAACGAATTGAAACACATCAAATGTGTTAAAAATCCATGAATTCATAGTAATACTAAAAACTAAACTAAACTCTGATTGTTCACTGTTGGAGGATGGTAAGAAAGCAATTCATTGTTTTGAAAATGGTAAATAAAGGGAGGAAATCAAGCAATTATCCTGGGTGTCAAACAGTAGATAAACAGTAATATCTGATTCTATTATTCCTCCTTTATTTATAAGTAGGAATACTTCTATGAAGGAGAAAATGATAGAATCAGATATGACTATTTTGAAAGAGTGATATTTCAAAAGATTCAGGCATTGAATCTGCAGCATCTAATATCACGGAAAGAGACAAACAGACATCAGGTGCCTCCTGTTGGAAAAATATCCCACTACTGCAACCAAACCTGAATATGATTAAGCTCTAGCTCCAAGTACCAATTTACAGGAAAAATAGGGACAGAGATCCTGTAAAATTACACCATAGGAAGGTTATCAGCAAAATCTAGATTGTGGACAAATCTACAGAATAAGCAACCCAGTGTCTTCAACAAACAAATTGAGAGAGAGAAAAAAAAAAGACAGGAGTAACCTATAGATTAAAACAAAAGTTATAGCAGCCAATTGCAACAGGTGAACCTTATTTAAACCCTGATTCAAACTGTTTTTCTAAAAATCCATTTATGATAATTTTGAGACAATTGGGGAATTCGAACACCAGGAATTTACTGGTTACGATACAAAAAGAGTTCTTTCTGAGTGATTTACTAAGACTTTTACAGATGAAATAGTATGATATCTGGGATTTGCTTCAGAATAACAGAAGACGGGCTAAATTGTTGAGAGTGGGGGGGATGGGGCCAGTTTGGACGTTGCTGGGGTTTGACGGGTGTGTGATAGCTCATCATAGCATTCTGTCTACTTTGGTGTATGTTCAAAAGTCTCAAAAATTAAAAAGCTAAGACAGACAAACAAAAGATTTATAACAAGGTGTTGATGTAAGAAAAACATATAAGCAAAACAAAACAGAGTGTAGGTAAAGGATCCGTAACTGTCTAAAAACAATAAGCTGACGTTTCTTGTTTCCTTCTCAACCTACTTTCCCATGACTAGATTTTTTTGTAACGTAATAATTTGCCTTCAGAAGTGTTCTATAGAATGAGACTCTCAACTCACAGTCCAGAGAATGAAGCAGAAACATAAACGTTTTGAAAACTGAAGGAGAAAGAATTGGATACAGAGACAATTATGGGGGACTTCCCTGACGGTCCAGTGGTTAAGACTCTGTGCTTCCACCGCAGGGGGCGCAGGTTCGATCCCTGGTTGGGGAACTAGGATCCCACATGCCATGCTGTGTGGCCAAAAAAAAAAAAGAATTATGGGTCAGAAATGAGCATAGCTCAGTTCACACCAGAGGCCCACCAGCCGAGGGCATGGACCAGGCTGCAGATGTGGTCACGGCCGTGTTGGGGGTGGAAATAGTATGTCAGTTTAGCATCCTTCTCCCCAACAGAATCAAATGTTAGAGTCATGGGTTTCAAACCTGGCTGCACATTCGAATCACCTGGAAAGCTCTGGAAACACACAGATGCACAGGATTCCACCCTGGCCCCATTAAATCTCTGCAGGAGGCCCGAGGCTTCAGCGATTGCCAAAGCTCCCCCAGGTGACTGATCCTGACACGCAGCCAGAGTGAGAGGATTTTAGCCAGCCTGCCCACATTTAAATAGCTGGATAAACCTGCTGGGTAATGATGGCAGTCACTGCCGGCTAAATGACAAAGCGAGCTGGTAAGTGAAACACCGGGTGTCAACTTCATTCTGTTGTCTTTGAGTCACTTGAGGTCATTGGGAGCCACTGTGTCCAACCTGAGTCACTTTTCTCTGGGTCTTTGGGGTGTGGCTGAGATCCAAGGAGGCCAAAGGTTGGCTCCTGTGGGCTTGGCTGTGGGCTCCCGGGGCTCCAGGTTTTGGTGGCACGTAGCAGGTACCAAGGGTAAAGAGCTGGCCAGCAGAAGTCATGGTCTGGCTCAAGCTGGGGAAGGAAAGGTTTGGGGTCCACAAGGATGTCCTCCTGCTCTGGGCTGGGCTGTGAGTCAACCCCAGGAACACCCAGCGGCCAAGCCAGCAGCGCCAAGCCCAGATTCCATCTCCACAGCAACGACATCCCTCCCTCGGGACCTGGGTCTGGCGCTGAATGTTGACCTTCCTCGGTGGTGCCACCGTAGAAAGTTCAGCTAGCTAACTGACAGGGAACAGAGAGATTTAAAGTCATCGTGGGAGGGAGGCCCACGAGGGAGGGGATGCATGTATACATACAGCTGATTCACTCTGTTGTACAGCAGAAACTAACACAACACTGTAGAGCAATTATACACCAATTAAAAATATATGGAACGAAAAAATGAAGTCTGTGTCAGAAGCCACTGATGCCTGGCAGCTGAGGAAGGTAGTTTCTAAGCAATCATGTCACATTATGGGAAAATGTGATTCGAGTTTCCAAAGTTCCATTCCCAGGTATCCACCGTGGCGCAGAGCAAGGCCCAAGCCCCACCCCCATGCAGGGGTTGAGACTCAGCTGATCACCTACCACACCTCCTTCTGCTCTGCCTCATTCCACTCTGGGTGTGACCCACCCTTTGACCTTCCGCTTGCCTCAGCCCCACCCGTGTGTACCTGCTCTGACCGCTGGCCGGCTCAGCCTTGTTCACGGCTCCTAGCCCTGGAGTTCTTCCGGCTTGGCCTCTCTCAAGAGCTTCCCTTCTCAGGCCAGTCCTACTCGCTATGTCCTGGCCTTCCTGGGACCTTCCCCTCTTTGGCCCTGGCCCAAGAGGTCCTGGCATCACTTACCTGCCCCCAGGTAACAATAAGACAGGAATCTATATCCCGTCAACTGGGCAAGGATAAGTTTAAGACTCTCAAGGATCTTCATATGGTCCTTGGGTCCATATGAGCCTGGAGGAAGGCAGTGTGATGTGGGTATGAGGGCAAGATCCGTGGCCTATGGGATCAGGACAGTTCCCTGGAGAAGGAAGGACTTGAAGCAGGTGAGGAAGACAGGCTGGCTATTAGTTTGGGGGTGAGAAGTAGTGGGACTGCGCAGTCGTGTGGGTGGTGACTGGAGACACGTCAGGAGAAAATGGGCTCTGAGAACCCCTGAGGGCCGGGGTGATACCCAAAATATTTAACCACCAGCCCAACCCTGCGTCTGTGCCAGCTGTGACCCTCCAGTTGCTGGGTTATGGGGAGGTCTGCGGGGTCTTGGGGGAGGACCAGGGTAATGATGGGCAGGTCACAGTTGGGTTGGGGGGTGGGCTCAGAGGAGCAGCTGTTTACCTCCCAGGATGGAAGTGTTTCGGGGTTTCAACAATCCTTGGGGCCGTGAGTAGCATGTACCAGGGAAGCTCTGCCCAGCCCGTGGGTGGGGCAGTGGCCACGAGATGTGAGCCCAGCATACAGACACTACGACTGGACACCTCAGCTGCATACTGTCTGCAGGAGGACACAGTCGTGAGTCGGAAGCTGCTGGGTTTCCTTCCTTCTCAAAAAGGATGGTATATTCCAGCACAGTGCCGAGGACCCTGCAGTCATCTGCTGCCTTTGGAAAAGCTGTGACATCTCTATCCTGACCCAGCCATCACCAGCCATAGCCCAGGCCCCACTCAGGAGAAGCTGGGGGCCTCCCAGCGTAGTCTCCGACTTGGAGGCTTGCAGCCTTCCTTGGGAGGAGGACTACCAGTCTCAGCTGGTCTTGTGAAGTCAGAAAAAAATATCAGGGACATGAGACTGGGAGGTTTGATGACTCATATAGAGCCAGGAATGTCAAAGCATTGTCCCTGGGACATGACAGCGGTAGTTATAACCTTTATGATGGGGGCTGGCTGCTACCTACATAGGGGCTCTCGCCTGCAGAGGCTTCGCTGGGATAGAAGCCCTCCTCCTGTGAGGCACGGGCATTCAGGGACACGGGTGGGGATCTGGCAGGCGTTGCATAGCAAGGCTTTGACAGGCTAGGAATCCTAATGTCAGGGACCGGGAGAAGAACCCCAAACATATTACTGTAGGCAGAGCGAGACGGCATCTGAAAGCTCAGCACAGCCACTCCAGCAGAGCCCGGGTGGCGGGGGGCAGGGAACTGGCTGACTGGCTTAAGCACGGAAGGAGCTTCCTCAGTGGATGTGGGGATGCACACAGATGTCATCAGCGGGGAAGCTGGAGACCCACACTGGGGAGACGTCCCAAGGCAGGAGACCCAGCTGAGGCCACGCTACGGTTAGGATGCCACTGCCAGGACTGCTGCCACTGGGCATGGAACGCTGCCTTCACAGATGGTCTTCTGGTCGAGCTGCCACGGCCCCAGATGAGTTCTCTTCTGTCCCTGCGCTTTTCCCATCCTAGGTCAGAGCCCCCAGTTGCCTGGGCCAGGACGGGGAGCCCACAAGCTCCGTGGGGGTGGGGAGATGGGGGAACACCTGGGCCTTCAACTCCCAGAGGGCCTGATGGATCCTGCCTCCTGCCGAGACTCACACAAGGGGGTTCCCTCCAAAGAGGAGGTGTGCTGGAAGCTGGGGCAGCCTAAACAAACAGCAACAGCCTCCAGGGCCCACGATGAGCTACTCTTGTCTTTAAACTTAGAGAATATCCAGGTTAATAACATCACCTAGAGACGAATGAAAGAGCAAAAGACTTCGTGTGGGCACATCCTCCTATTCCACATGGGGTCGTACCCAAAGCAAACATTTATAGATGCAACACCTGCGGGGGTGGAGGGGTGGGTGAGGAGCTCTGCCCTACGTAGCCATTCCAAAATGACTCCATTCTTACCCTCCAGCGAGTCT